TATATTAATACATATTAACAATGCATAACAATATATTTCAGATTCAACAATATTCCACAGAGCTTAGAATTTTGTAGATCTGGCAATATTGGTTAACGAATTAATTATAAAATGGATTGTAAGCTTTTCGTAAAGTGTTGTCCCTCATCTATGTGTGCGAGTGCCGATGCGCTTGTATGAGTGCCTGTGTGTGCTGGTGATTTATATATGTGATGCAGACGCAGGCCAAGGCACAGGAGCAGGCGCGTCCAAATTCCGCTGCAATGGACAGCAGCGGCCGTGTAATGAAAAACTGCGCATGGCTCGAAAGATGTGCAAGGGTTGCCCAAGGGGGCGAAAGTTGAGAACGGGCGAAACTGCCTGTCGCCAAGGCGAAATGACAAGCACACACACATCGTATCTTCACCACATCTCTCTGTGTGTGTGCGTGTGCGTGTGTGTTTTCGTGTGCGGGGGTCGCCTAATAAGCAGGAAATTAAAATGTTATATGCATTGCCATTGCTCCATGGCTGCGCGTCGTCTTTCGACTGGCATTGTCAACTCGGCGGCTGCGGCTGCCTCCATTGTGGCAGTACCACGCCCACCGGCCACCGCCCATCGCACACCACCCACCGCCTTGAAGTATGCATTATTTTTACGTGTCAGTGCGCATTTTTGGCATAATTGAAGCACAAACTGCGCTCTGACTGCCTCACTGCCTGTCCTGTGGCTGCAGCTGCGGCTGCGGCTGTGCCTGCTGAAGGTCGCCCCACCGACATGACATTGCGTATACGCCAGAGCCGGACGGAACGGTGTGTGAGTTGAGAGTGTGTGAGAGTTGGATGAGGATGAGGATGGAGGCAGGGGATTGTGGGGTTATTGGGGGACTCGTTGCATCCAAAATTTTTGCTGCTTCAAGTTTTGGTCGACAGTTGCGCATTAAGGCAAGAACGATTTGCCGAACTGTTCGCCAATACCAGCAACAACAACAACAACAAAATGCAAAGGATAAAGTTTATAGTTGCCCCCATCTATTGTAACGATTCTTTTTGGGTGATAATTTTGAATACTATTTAGGCAAAGAGCTAAGTGTAATGAGAAGTTCTGTGCACTCTTTGTCATGCATATGATTATATCCTAACTCGCATATTTACTCACAGTTGATTGCAAATCCGTATGCCTGTATAG